TTTTTTTTTTTTGAGACAGGGTCTCGATATGTTGTTCAGGCTAGCCTCATAGAACAGTCCTACAGATTCAGCCTCCTGAGTGGTGGGATTTCCGGCTTGCGCCACGACCCCCGGCTGCTAAGGGATTAGGCTTTTTACCTCTTTTTCTGGTGGTACTGGGAACTGAACTCAGGATCTTGTACACGCGAGGCAAGTGCTCTACCACTAAGCTACGTGGCATTCCTAATCCGACCAGGCAGGCCTCTAGCGTGCCACCCTCAAGCCTCCCCTTCTCACAGAGGTGTACATTACCATGCCCTACTCTCCTGCTGCAAACATGTACCTGGACAGTCCACACATCTTGCCAATTAAATTAGGTGGCCAGAACAGTACATAAAACTAAACATAACACTGATCAAGAACCACTTTTTCTTCATGACCTTTCCTTCACGTTTAAAATTTCTCTCCTTGGGTGCTAACAACCAAGGACTTGCTTTCCCTCTCTGAAACCTCTCAGCAAGTCCTGCCCCTGGGGGCCATCACCCGTAACAGGTCAGCTTGGGATGTTTCATCTGTACCAAGGAAGATGCTCTCAGTGATGTTAATACACCAGCCCCGCAGGACCCTGCAACGCCTTATGCCACACTGCCAGCTTCCTGAGACAGCTACTTCGATTCTCTTAAGAACTTTCTAAGACTCCCAGTGACAACTGAATAGCAAACAGGTATCTGAACCAGTCAAAGATATCCCTGATCTTGCCTTAATCTGCTTTCCCAAATTCATCTACCTCTGATCAGTATGTACTGAATGATTAGGAATGGTATGACTCTGAGATCAAAAAAACCCCTAACTACCCCCCCAAACGAACAGGTAATACAATGAGGAACAGTACAATTTTTGCAATAAACTGGGGCAAGATTAATAAGTAGTATCTACTGTTCATTTATTCATTCATTCATTTACTTTTGGCAGCACTGGGGGTTAAACCCAAGGCCTTTGCACTGAGTTATAGCCCCAGTGCTTTTTTGTTTTTATTTTGAGACAAGGGCTCACGCTAAATTGCCCAGGCTGGGCTTGAACTCACAACCCTCCTGCCTCCAAAAGTACCAGGTCACAGCATACCACACCTGACTGGCTCAATAATTCTTTTTTTTTTTTTTTGTGGAACTGGGGATTGAACTCAGACTCGTGCATTTGCCAGGGAAGCGTTTACTCTACTGAGCCATCTCCCCGGCCCCCTCAATAATTCTTGACTAGTAAAAAAAATTTTTTTAATTAAT